GAATATGGAGAGTTGTCTTCCTGACTTACAGCCAACACCTTCACCACCTTCATCCCTTCTCCTCTGCTGAGGAAGTCAGTGCAATAACATTTCATTTAGAAGATTTTGCATTCAGAATAGAGAGAACAAAACATTTCATTAATGCCAATGATGAGTCCAGGGGAGTCAAAAATCCTGTGTCCAAACTCACAGCAGAAAAGGGGCAGACGTGGATCTCTTTAGTTATTTGCTACTGCCTTTTTAAGCCTTTAAAATAAGAGAGAATTACTTGACTGTAACAAGTGAAAGCTGATTCCAGGAGCTGAAGACTTAATAAACACACCAAATATTGCAAGGCTTGTGATCCAATAATGCTGGCAGTGCTGTCGTGTCTTCTCTTTTCATAGGGGGTAACCTTGAAATAAATCCTAAAATAATTACAGGCCAGTGGTTTAAACACACACAGCTTTTCAATGAATCCCTGAGCTCTCTAATTCCAGCAAAAATAGATTTCCTTGGGGATAGAAGCATGAAAATACCCTTTAAAACTGGTACCTGCTCATTCTGAGCTGTGCTCACACTGTGAGCTTGTGATGAGGTGCTCTGGCATCTCAGAGGGAAGCATATTGTCATTTACTTGGTGTCATTTACTGCTGCAGACACAAAGTCATTTGGAGGGACTGACTTCCGCAGGTTTTCCATGACAGGAGCAGAGGAAACAGCTTTTCCTCTGCACCATTCCTGTTCCTGCTGGTCACCTCGTTCCTGGTGGCCGGGGCTGCTCTCCACACAGCCCACAGTGATTCCAGTGTTCTCAGAGCACTCAGTGTGCTCCCCAGCCAGGCTCTGACTCAGAAAGGCTTTCAGGCAAGCACAGCTCACAGAAGTATCCCCAGCCCATCGCCAGCAATGACAAATCGGTTTTTAAATGTTGTGTGTGTGCCTCTCCCCTTCCCTGGCTCAAATCAGCTCTAAAACTCTGACTTCCAGTCCTTTCTAATGGGCCCTGACGTGTCCTGGGGCCCAGATCAGTGCACACGAGTGACTCTGCACACATGAGTGGTCCCTGGAGTCCAACCATGTGCAAAAGGCTGTTTGTGTGCCCAAATCCTCGTGGAATGAGGGCCTGGCTCTAACCTGCCTCATTTAGCTGTCAGCACAGCAGTCCCCAGTTTGCCCAGCAATTATTTCCTTGCCATGTGATGCAGGGTTTAGATGCTCTCTGATACTGTTCCCCCAGCCTGCCCCTCCCCTGAGCCCAGGAGGGATCGGTGGATCCCTTAATCAGACATCACATTGATGTAAGCTGTCACTGAGTGCGGTACCAGACATGGCCAATCTCACAACCATCTGGGAGGGCTTTTTCAGGGATAGCTGCAGTGCCCAGAGGATGCCTGAAGGAAGGCTGTTACAATAAGAAACAGATTAAAAATAGTTTTTCTCCATACTCACTGATGGGCCTAAGCATGAACCATCAGGGCTTGTGTGGGAGGGATCTCCCTCTGCCAAGTGAGATGGAGTCAGAAACCACCTGACAGGGAGGTGAGGGGGGTCACCCATTACCCTCTGCCTGGGGATCCTCCTGTCTTTAATGCTGGCTGTGCTGCAAAATCAGATTATCCCAGGAAAAACAGTTTTCAATATATTTTTCTTCCCTGGATAATGTATCAGTCAACCTTTCCCATTCCACTCCCGAGGATTTGTGTGGTTGTGCTGTGTTTGCGGTTTTCACTGGCAAGAGCAGAAAGTCTAAACTGAAGGTAAGAATAAGTTCTCAGGGTAGAAATAGTGCAATGAGGCTCTGGGGGCTCTTCCTGGGGGCATCTTTAGCCTGGTGATGCTGTGCTCTTGTCTTGCTGCAGTGAACTCATGCTGGCAGTGCCCAGGGGAGGGCAGGAACCCCACACCAGATGCAACACAACCCTTCCCAGGAGGGGCCCGTCCTCCTCCCTTGCTTTACAGAGGGGATGTTGTGCTAAGACCTGTCTGTAGCTCTCCTAAACCTGCAGCATCATCACTCCAGCCCCTTATCCCAAGCCATGGCAGATGCAGGGAAGGATGCTGCAGCAGGCAGCAGTGTTATCTCCCCAGGGAATGGCAGGGACAGCCACGGCACTGAGGCCTTTCCTCGGGGCTTTCTGCCAGGCTGCTCATTCCTCTGCAGAGCTTTGCCTAGGTGATGACATGGCTGAGGACTTGCTTTTAATTTTGTGACCCTTGAAGCCCTAGAGCAGGACCAACATTGTTTAATTAGGGACAAGGGGAATGTTATTTTAGTTAGGCCTGGGTGTTGTAGCTGGGGCTGTGCAATCAGAGCTCATCAGCTTCAGCAGTGGGGGTCCCCCACCCCATCCTGGTCAGATTGTAGGTGGACAACAGAGATATCTGCCAAGTTTGGGAGCTTTTATATAAAGTGCAGGGTAGCTGTGAAAGACTTCTTTTGAGGTGTGAGGCCTCCTTTTGTCAGTTTGGCATTTAATGTGCTGCTGTGGCACAACCTGACCTTTTCCCTCCCTGCTCTCTCAGTTTTGGCCACAAACTTTTCATTCCCAGTGCCCTCAGCTCTGGCTCTGGTGTGGCAGAAAGGGCACACCCTGTGTTTATGTGAACCCTCTGTCACCTGGAGGCAGCGACCAGATGTGTGTGTGGCACAGGAATTTCTCCTCTTGTCCTCCATGGGGTAGAAAAGCTCTGAACTTACACTTTGCTTATTCTTTTCTTCAGCTCCCAAAGCCAAAATAAACTTTGGGAAAGCAGTAGCTCAAAAGTAAAAACAGAATAATTGGAAAATACTTTTCTTTCTTTTAGCAAAACGGGTGTCAAGTATTATAAGAGCCCCACTGCTCTGGGGTCAGAACAGCAGCTCAGGGCTCGAGCCAGTTCTCTGGCTTTGACTCCAGACCCTTCCAACAGTGTCACACTCACGAGAGGGACAACTCAGGCCTGTTCAAAAGGCCAGCTCGAGACATCAGCTGAGCCCCTCTACACCCTAGGAACAACTGAAGGCTTAAGAGAAAAGAAATAAAGCCTTGTTTCAAATGCAAGGACTTTCTAAGTCGAAGCAGCACCTGGCTGAAGTCACAACATCAGCAGCCTAGAGCAGACCTGGGAGGAGCAGTGTCCGGGGAGAGCTGCATGGGACCCAAACCACCCTCAGCTGGCAAATTAAATGACACCTGACAAACGTATTTTAAGTTGTTGGCCATTTTTTGCATCATTTTTGCAAAGCTCAGCACGTGGTCTTGAAAGAGTGTGAAGCACCTGTAACTTGTGCCAAAGCTCAGCCCGTGCTCAGGGTTGTATCCAGAAACCAGAGGGCACTCCAAGGGCCTGGCAGTGTCTCCTCCTGCACAGTCTGGGACTTCTCCTGTTGTTTGTCAGCTTAATATGGTGCCGCTCCCTGCACATTCCATCCTGAAGGTGATTAGGAATAACAGCACTTCCCACAAGAAATGGGAACTGCAGGGCTGGAACCCACCGGTTGTTCTGCTTCCCCATTACGTGGAATGGCAGTCTGTAGGTAGGGCCATGATAATAATGTCCCACAGATCCACTGGAAGGAGTTTGTGTTGGTCAAACTCCAGCTTCTTATTCTGCAAAGGACTTTGGAGATATAGAGCTACAATGTCATCAGTTATGCAAAGCACGGGGGCAGTGGGATGGATTTCTCTCTCTGGTGGCCAGAACTGGTTCAAAGTCTCAGCCAGAGTTTAGAGGAAGGGTCAGTGCCTCTGAGGGGAGTCCAGCAATGCTGTGCCTGGGCAGGATCCCCTCTGGAAGGACTCTGTGGTGCCATGAGATAATCTGGCCTCCCTGGAGTTACTGAGGGGAACTCAAAGGGCTCGTGGAAGAAGCCAGATACTCCAAAGTGGGAGTGATTCACTGATGCCAGGCCATCAGCAATTTACTGAAATCCAGCAAAAAAGAGATGAGAGCTGAGGGGTGGGAGGCAGGAAAATCACTGTTTCATCCAGTTGAAAAGTTAAAGCCTAGTGTTTCTCTCTCTGTGAGATATGTTATCTCCCTTCCCTGCTGTGAATAATGCTCGTGCTGCGGGCCCAGAGAGGGATTGCTGGCTTATCGGGTTCAAGGCAAAGGGGAAGATAGAGAGTTGAAGAGCAGGAGGGGAAAGAAAACATACAGCTTTAATGTCAGAGCTTTGGAAATGGAGATCCTTATCTCAGCCTGTTCTCTCCTCTTCTTGATTATGTTACTTTGAATTTGGACAAGGAAACCAGCCTGGCCAACCTCACTTCTGGTTCTCCTCAGTTTCACTTTCTGAAAATTATGTCATCATAGATGTACACTCAGATACTCTCTGAGGACACTTGCACAGCCAGGAGACATTTCTTGGGCCAGGAGATGATGAGAGAGACCTTTATCCTGACTGTCATTGACCAGTGTCATGTGAGACCTGACAAACCTTGCCATGCCAGTGGTGTCCCAGGCACCACTGCAGGTTCCCCTTGGAGCAGCCACGATGCCCACAAAGTCAGCAGCGCGTGGCTCAGTTCAGATCCAGTATTTGGGAATGGTGATTTGGGAATCACCAGGCTTTCGATGTCACAGTGGTGAATAAAGAGCTGCTCCCCAGAATTATTGTTTTCTCTTCTCCCACTGATTAAAATGTAACGTATGAGCTCACACATCAAATTATTTCCCAAAGACCTGACTCCTTCCACTTTTATAGGTGTGTAAAATCCTTTCAACACAGATCTGTTCTCCTAAATCTACAATAATTCAGTAATAAAGCTGCCCCTGAACACAAGAAAAGAAAGACTGTCAGCAGAAACACAGGTGCTCAGTGTCAGAGAAGAGATGAAAAAAGGAAACTGGAAACAAAGTGAGGGCATCTCCCAACTCCACTCTCACTGAACTGAACCGGTATAAATGCGAGCACTGTGTGGGCCCCCAAATTAGGAACTATTTACAAAACCAAAAGCTTGCCTCGAGCGCACTGTGCCTGGTCTGAGCCCATGAATAGCCTGGTCTAATGATGGTTCCTTCTTTATTTGGGTCAGGCCTTGCTGAGGAAGAGCTTTTGGAGAAGCCAGTGCTGAGCATTGCCAAAGACCACATCATCCTCTCACCCGGAGACACCCTGAAAATAAAATGCAGGTAAGGACTGGCCCAGCACTGCTGGATTTCTGTCATTGTGCTCACTGCCTTGGACCAGAACAGGGTCTGGGCAGGACAGAGCAGAGGGAACCAGGGCTGTTTGCCCTCACGGACATTTCTGCGTGGAGGGAACTGCATGGGCTGTAATGGAGCAGCGGGAAAGTGTCAGCTCAGCATTCAGCCTGCCCAGATTCTGTGTGTTGTAAAGGGGCCCAGCAAAATCCTGAGTCAGCACACGGGGGAGCTTATGGGAGAGGGATGTGCAGTGCTTCAGGACATGACTGGAAAATCCTCTCTGCAAATAGGAGCAGATTCAGCTCCTCTGCTGCCAAGATCGCTCTTATGCTCCCTGTCCATAAGGGAACGACAAACAAGATCACCAGGGCATGCCATTATCTCTTTGCATACCTATATATATATATATATATAAATGAGAGCTTAAACTTCCTACCCTCAAATACCATCTAGCCCATAATATGACAGTTAAATAAGCAGCAGTCAGCTGGTGTTTGTTCAAAGACCTGACCTGTTTAAACACATCATGTTCTTTAAATCAAAGATAACCAGGACTTGTGAAAAACCAAGCTGCTCATTTTGTAAATCATGGCAACTTTTCAGTCCTGGCACAAACAGCCACGCAAGGAACCAACACAGTTGTGGTAATGATGTGTGTTTAGAGGGAGAGGATCCTCTGGAAAGGGGAATATAGTGTTTGGTCACAGCTGATTGGCACCCACAGCACTCTCTGATGTGCCAGAAGATCCATCAGCTGCTCAGTCACACAAAAGGCTGAGATGGACGTAGGTGCTACTTGCTCTGAGTGTGATTTTTACACTAAACCACTGCCAGAGGTTGTTTCTTAATTTTTTCTTCTGAGAGTGTTGTAGGAGAGAAGCCTTAAGGTAACACAGACTATCACAGTTTGTCTCACACACACATTATTTTTATACCTTCTTGCAAGGTCCCCTTGACTGTAGCCTCTGCATGGATGGTTCCACAAAGAAAAAGCAGTGGGAAGGTGAACCTGAGCTGTTTTTTATACTGACACACATGTCCCTGCTGATTTTTGTCCCAGACTATTTAATTCTTTGTTACAGTGAAAGGTAAATTGACTTAGACTGTGTAAATTTGGGATGTCTTCTGGAGTGTAATACCAAATACCTCCAGCTAGCCATGTGGCTTACGAGGTCAAAACAACCTTACAGTGGTATTTTTGGCTTGGCAAGCAGCAAACTCGATGGCAATAAAGTTTAAACAGTCCTTTAAAATCTGGATGCTGTACTTCATAAAACACAGTGTGTGGGCACGGGGTCGGTGTAGAGGTCCAGGCCAACTAAACCAAGACTTTTCAGCAGTTCCCCATCCACTGCCTTTTTAATCTGGAGGAACATCCTACTTTTCTAGTATCACCAGATGAATAAATAGCTGAAGAAGTTATTAGCACTTCAGTCCCACGTTGCTGTATGGATGCAAAGCAGTAAATCCACAAGGCAGGTCTGAGCATCAGTAGGCTGTGTGAGCACAGGGCCGAGCCAACGTGGCCCTGGGGGTCCAGAGCCCTCCAGCTCCTTGGCTCAGGTCACACAAGAGCTGGGAACAGCAACTAAAGCATGTTTTCTGCCCTTTGAGTACAAGATTCCCTGTATAATCCTGCCTGTCATCCTGCCTCCTCTGCCACACCAGCATCTGCACGCTCCCAGGTTTATTCCAGACTGGCCCAGAGGGAGCTGGGGAATCCTTTGTATTCCAGGGGCGTTAGGACCATGTGGGGCACAGCACGAGGCAGCAGACCAGCAGGTCTGTGTGAACATCCCTTCTCCCTTAAGCTCCATACATTTGAGGTCCTTGGCCAAGATTTCCTGATTTTTGGTAGCCTGGCCAAAGCTACTGCTGCGACTCCCCTCGGCCAGATGTGTGAAAACCCCAAAACAACAGCCCAACTCTTCATCTTCCACCAGCATAAAATATGCAGAGGAGAAAGTGGGCAGATGTAAGGAAGTCCAGGCGTGTGAAATCCCAATGCTCTGCACAGCCACAACTGCAGATTCCCAGCCCTGATGGGCACCAGAGTGGGATGGGAGAGGGGCAGGGATGTGATGACATGCTGGGAGCTTCGTGTCCCCATGTCAAGTGGCATTGTTCCATATTCCAGGCCAGGAGTCCCAGTTCTGGACAGTGGAGCCTTTACATCACTAATGACGTCGGTGAGGTGGGGACAGAGCTGGGCAGGGACATCAAAACCTAACCCTGTGCTCAGAAGGACAGGACGCTGTTCTGGCGGATGAGGTGGGGTTGGCCGAGTCACCACTGCATCCAAAAACGAGGGTGAGGCTGTTCACCAGAGAGGATATGCACACTTCTCCCAGTGCTCTCCTTCAGCAAAGTCCTGGGAATAACCTCAAGAGTTCAGCCCCATGTCTCCTCACCTCCAGGAAGGCGTCGAAAGGACGGGCAGGAATGAGGGCCAAGAGGATGTTTGTTTAAGTGTCACTGACTCTGCTGGCAAACACACCCCCACACTGCACTGCGTGCACCACTGCAGGGCCACTGGAGCAGAAAGAGGAGTTGGACTTCTTGGCTAACTGGAAATTTCACACAGCCTGCTTGTCAGATAATTTATTAACATCTCGATCCTGAGTCAATGTGTCTAGACCGGATTTCTCCCTGGCAACACTCAGCTGGGGAAATCCAGAGGTTCTTACTCCTTGATCAGCAAATGCCAGTGGGAATTCAGTAACGAGAAGGGTTGAGTCAGTCCCCTGCCCGCTGGAAGAGTGGCTTCTCTCCGCAAACACAGACAGAACTCCCTCTATCTCATACAAACTTCTTCCTCAGAAAAGTTAATGGGTGATTACTCTCTAACCCAGCAATTTTCTGAGCACTAGAGACCAGTCTGCTAAAAAAAATCTATAATCTTTACCTCATAGGCCTGTGTAGCATCACTAGAGCCCTCAAAGTGCAGCCCAAGCCAAAGGGAGTTCCAAGAGCTCCCACTGCCATGGTGTGGGCTGATGCTTCCAGCCCAACAGGACCAGCACAGCCAGTGCCTGTGACTGAGCTGACGTGAATCAGCCCAAAGCTCTGAGCCCTGCAGCAGGTGACACATAGGCCTGGCCTTGTGTTGGGAACTCCATGGAATTGCATTTGCCATGAGCTGTGCTCATGGATCCAACAGCAGAGGGGTCAGGTGGGTGGAATGGTGCAACCTCTGCCCTGCTGCCTTGGTGTTCTTGCCTGCTGTGAAAAGGTGAATTGGAAAAAAGGTGTCCTGAGCAGATATTCCAAGATATGTGATCTGATTAGTTTCAGGCCCTTCACAGAAATCAAGACTGAGCCACTGCTGATTAAGCAAGAAAGGTGATGTGAAGTTACATAAATGTTCTCCTCTCTCCATGCAGCCTTAGTATAAGAAAATATACATTATTTAGCTGTTAAAATATGCAAAGTCCTCAGCTTGGAAGAAACATATAATTTTATCTGATGCTTTCTAATATTTGAAGTGGCTAAAACATAGCGTTATAAAAACAAGCTTGCGCACAGGCAGTGTGTTAGAAGAAAAGTTAACTTTTTCTGCAGGAGCTGGCTTGCTGCAGTTCCCACTATTTCAGGAATCTCCCCTGCTCTTGGGAAGAGTGTGAGGTGACCCGCCTGAATTCCTTGTGGGTGGAAAAGCAAACACCCAGCAGCCTTTACCTTCCCTTTGGAAAGGAGTGCAGTGGGAACAGAGGGAAGCGCTGGCCGGAAGGAAGGCCCAGTGTTGCCTGCAGTCATGTTGAGTTTGGGTGTGCTGTGTTGCCAGGGGAGCCCCGTCTGTGAGCTGGGTGCTGAGGGGGGAGCACCAGGACAGCCCCCGGGTGCACAGGAGCAGCTGCCGTGATGGCACCGGGCAAAGCTGTGCCGCCCTCGTCATCAGGAGGGTCGTGGCCAACGACACCGGCTACCTCAGCTGCGCCCTTGACCATCACCCAGCCCGGGAGGACCTCATGGCCCAGATCTACATCTTTGTCCAAGGTAGGAGCTGCATTTTTGTCTTTTCCATTATGGGGTTTGGTACCCCCAGCCGTGTTCGAGCAGGGGGTCTGTGCCAGGTAGAACCAGCATCCCGAGGGAGATGCTCTCCCAGATCCCACCTCCCCATTGGCACAAGCACTGAGCAAGCACCAGCTCTGGAATTCCGAAGAGGATGGATATATTTGGATTTTTGTGCCAGCTCAGTACTCAGGGACACAAATGTGAGAGCCAGAGATTACCTGTCCTGCTTAATTCCAGGACTTGAAAGCGAGATGGTCCCATCTAGCTTTGTGTTCCAAGTAACTGATACACTGACTTCTTTAAACCTCTTTTCCTTTTAAGACTAAATTTGTTAATCCTAAAGGGTTTTGCTGTCACAGTGCTCTTCCTAAGATTCATCCTGAATACCCAAGTCCTCTCTCTTTCCCTTCCTCCCCAGGCATGAAACTCCCCGACAACATTCTCTGTAATTCCTCCCATCCCACACATTTGTATACTGCTTTGTCCTTCACATCTGGGAGACAAACTCAGCAAAGCTAGATGACTGCATTATACATATTTTATTGTAAAAAATGGCCCACTGCTCATTTTTGTCCCCTTTGAGCTGCCTGTCCCCCATGTGTCAGAATCACTGAGTTCAGATCCAGTAATAAATGGAAGAAGAAACTTCAGAGGAGGAACTCTGTGATTAAGTGACTACAGCCTGCTGAACAACCAGTTCAATAATGTGAACTTTTGTTAGAATATTGCCCCAAAATGCTGAATTTTTTTCCAGCCTACTTGACAAATGCATTACTAAACTCTGAATCATCCTGGGTCTTCCAAGATGAGATTGTGAATCCTCAGATAAAGGAACTGACTTTTAGTATGTTGAATAGGGGCTGACATGAACTCCTCTGGTGCTGAATAGTCTTGGCCTTTGGTTCCCCACAAACACTCATGGGAATGAATTAATTTCATTTTTCTGGTAAATGCTAAATTGTGGTTCTTTAAATCTTCTTCCTAAAACAAATGCTCAAGAGGCCGTGAGTTTGTCTGATGGTATTTGAACAGCCCAGCAAACCCACACTTACAGAAAACACACGCTTTGCTGGGCAGCTCTGACAGTGCAGTGATGGTCAAACCAACACGAGCTGTGACTTTCATCCCCAGGGGACTGCGATGTGCCCACACTGCTAAATTCAGCTTCTGCACCCCCAGGTGAACACACCTGCTTGATTCATGTGGGTGACGTTTTCCTGTCTCTTTATGTCTGTTGAAAATACCCTTATCCTGCTTTCCCAGCAAGTTTTCCTCTAGCTGGAAAGCAGCTTCTTGGCGTTACTTGTTAGTTCCTGAAGTAATTTTTTTCCTCCCTTTCTATTTCCTCTTTCTGTTTTTTTCTTGGTGCTCTGAGCCCTGGTTGCTTTATCCCCCCTGGTTCTTGTGCTGAGCCGTTTCCTTTTCGCATCACACCCTCTCAGATGCCCCACATGTAACATTGTTAACCCAGCCCTGTGCCCACGCTCCAGGAAACGCTGCACTCAAAACTCAATTCTCTCCTGACTCAGTGCCCTGGCTGCCTACCCAGGCCTCGGTTACTCTGGGCAGGAGCACGTGCAGGAAATTGGATGGATCTTCTGGGACTGCCTGAGCATTTTCCTGTAGAAAATATCTTAAGTTATGAAATGCTCGCCGGTGATGTGCTTTGGAACAGAGCTAATCTAAAAAAAAATCTAAAAATATGGCAGGATGTCCTCCTGCTTGCCTGAGTCTGCTGTGCCAAGGTCCCCCTGACAAACAGCACCGTGTGGCTGTTTCTCTAAATCACCCTCCAGGACCGTCCTCTCTCGGGTGCAATTTAATTGTGTCGTGCATCCTCCCCTCTCTAAAGCTCTTACTCAGACTCATGTGCTTGAAAAGTTATTGAGGGAAAGTGGGTGGAAAATGGTCCCGCTTGAACTGTGCACTCCTTGGGTGAGGGGTGGGGGAGGCAAGGCAGCAGGGATCCCTCTGGATCCCCCTGTCCTGCTCACCCACCCCATGGCACAGCTCTGCCACAGCAGCTCAGGCTGCAAGCTGCGAGTGCCTGCTGGGATCTGTCCTGCCAGGCTGAGGAAGCTGCTTGGCCCCATGAAATGGAGCTATTTATACCTCAGCATGGATGCTGTGCTCAGGGCACGCTCTTCCTCCCTTTCAGTCCCTGGGTATATTTGTTGGAAGCCAGCAGGGGACAAGAAAACTGCTCAGCAGTGAGGGCTCTATGGGCTGTGGAGTTAATCAAGGTGTTCAGAATATAGCTGTAGTTTTCTCCAACATTTTAACACGCCTCTTTAAGGAAACTGGTGTCTGGGCATCACTGAGAAACCCATCAGCTGTCTCCAAGTGTCCTCTGTGAGTGCCAGACGAGGGTGAGGTCCAGGGCACATCTCTCCAGACGTTTTGTGGAGAGAGCAAGTGCTCAGTGGGGTGTTTGCGAGGCTGAGCCAGGTGGAGTGAGAAAATATTGAGGCAGACCCTGAAGGCTGGAGAGTCCTCTGAGGTTCCAGGCCATTATTGCCAAAAAAGGCAGAGGAAGGGTATTTTTTCCCTTCATTCCTGGCCTGCCGTTTGACACCAAAATGAGAACATGATTGTGTCGGAAGCCCTGCTTATTGGCTATTATTTCCTGTGCTTGCTGCTGTTTTTCCAGCCTCCCTGGTGCAGTTCCTCAGCTCTGTCGGGCTCTGGCACTCGGCAGCTCTCCCGCCGGTGCCGTGGAGCTCTGACCCTGCACATCACTGGGATCAGGAGGGACCCAGAGGCAGCAGGGGCAGCTGCCAAGCCTCAGCTGCACCCTGACACTCAGCAGCGAGGCACAACTCAGGATCTTAATCCTGAATAATTGTTCCCGAGGCCTTTTCTGCTTCCCGCTGCAGCTGCAAGTGCCAGAGATTGTAATTAAAAAGGAAGACAAGCCCCTTCTCCTGTTGCCCGTCTCCTTGTTGAAAATGCAGAGTAGCTCAGGGCTGCAACAGAAATAGTTGGGTGTTTTTAACTGCTTCAGGTTCACTGCAGCTCTGAGGGATAATAATCTCTGCAGGGACAGGCAGTGTCTGGTCCAGCCCTGGGCAGGCAGAGCAGCCAGACAGCTCTCGTGGCTGCTGTCAGAGCACGGGGTGGGTGGGGAAGCCCCCCCTCAGTGCACAGACACGCTGTCCCTGCTGAGCCAGCTCTCACAGGGCACTGAGGACGAGCCTTTGCTGCCCACAGAGGAGCCACATCAGGGTGCCCAACGTGTGTGGCAGGAGCCCACGTCAGGGTGCCCCATGTGGGTGGCAGGAGCCCACGTCAGGGTGTCCCACTTGCTCAGCACCTCCACAGCAAATGCTGCCACAGCCACCCAGATGTGACATCCGCTTCCATCTGCCTTCTGCAATCACCCTTCCCAACCCAACTGATACCTCCCTGTGAGGAACATACTCCTTTAATCCAGCTTTTGGGATCCCTGTGCCAAAGGAAAGGGCAGGCTCTGTGAAAATCAGTGGTTCCATCAGTGTGTTATCAGCTTTATTCTCATACTAAATCCATAGCTCATCACTACACCAGCTACTAAGAAGAAAAACCGACTCTATCCCAGACAAAACCAGGACAGTATCCATCCCTTATTCCACATCATTTCCATGATGCCAGGATCCACATTTTCCAATAGCCCATTGCCTTTCCTGTCCTTTAATATACATACACACAGATACCATTCCCAGCTGAAACCAGGACAGTAGGGCACATATGCAATTTAACAGGGCTTAGAGAAGGAGGAAAAAAAGACAAATCAAGCAAAGATTTGTTCCACCTTCCCAAAGGGCTGTCTCAGGCCCCAGTCTAGACAAGAGTCAGGACTTGCAGCTCACAGCTATTTGAAATACTGTTACTGTCAGCAAAGAACTGTCTCACAGTGACAGTGCTGGGGGTGTCAGCCCAAACACTGCCTCAGCTCTGAGTTCCAGCCCCGAGCTCTGTGTCACAGTCAGGGTTTGCTGCACCCTTTGTACCACTCCAGCAGGGCATCAGAGGAAGGAGCACCAGTCCATTTGGTTCTGACTCCCTCCACCAGCAACTTCTCTGAGTTTACTGCTGAGGTGACCAGAGCTGGTCCCGTCTTGCCAAACAGTGCCTGGAAAAGTTCAGCCAGGTTTCCAAGCTGTGGTTGCTGCCCACACCCCAAAAGCACTGCTTTGCTAGAACTGTGGGGCTAAAGGAGGCCCCTCCTCATCACAGGCATGGGGCCAGCAACACTTTAGACCCTCTAGTCTAAAGCAGGGCTGTTATTCTCTTTCTTGAAATAATTCTGCCTGTGATAGGGCTGGTTCTCAAATAAGTACTTCGGAATCACGAGTGCCACATTCCTCAGTTCCTGCTGGTCCCAGCGGCTCACTGATCACAGAAACTGGTGAGCATTTTAACTGGGTCTCCCCACCCAGAGCCATCAGCTGCTGGTGTTTCACCACCTCAGTGCTACTGTGAGTCAGCAGCACGGCAGGACTGAGGGAGCAATTTGCTTCCAGACATTTGGTTTTCAGCACTGATGTTCACAGGAGCACAGTGTACCCCAAGATACCCCTGCAGAGAGTCTGAGTTCTGGCTCCTGTTAAAGCTCATGTGGACACCACAAAGGCACCAGCACTGCCAGCCTGAGCCACAGGGCAGTCCTGCCAGGAGTCCAGAGCACAGGCACTGCAAATCAAATCTGAAGCAAGACAGACATTATATGGGAGCACAAGCCCTGTTAAGGCCATTTTGAAGGAAAAAGAGGGTACATCCCAGCAGCTTGTCCTGCTGGTCAGCTCCAGAAGCAAGGCATCCCCAGGGAAGGGCAGGAGCTCTCCCTTGCCACTGGAAAGAGTGAGGAGAGCAGGTACAAGTGCTGCATCAGGGCAGAGTGTCACATCAGCCACAGCCTCTTCTGTATCGACGAGCACAGCCCAGAGATGTGAAGCCCCATTGTCTCCATCCCTTCCCCTCCCAGAGATACCTAAAGAGGA